CACACCCCTCACACGTTTCGTGGCCCCATGGGGAGCTCCACCTAGGGTCCCAGTGGCGGAACTCGCATGGCGCCGCCGCCCCATTTTGGCACACCCCTCACACGTTTCGTGGCCCCATAGGGAGCTCCACCTAAGGTCCCAGTGGCGGAACTCGCAAGGCGCCGCCGCCCCATTTTGGCACACCCGTCACACGCGTCGTGGCCCCATAGGGAGCTCCACCGAAGGTCCCCGTGGCGGAACTCGCATGGCGCCGCCGCCCCATTTTGGCACACCCCTCACACGCTTCGTGGCCCCATAGGGAGCTCCACCTAAAGTCACAGCGGCGGAACTCCCATGGCGGCGCCGCCCCATTTTGGCACACCCCTCTCGCGGGCGATCCGCGCGCGTCGCTGGGACCCTCTCGGGGCGACCAGCGCGCGTTGCGGGAATTCCGCGCTGCGCTCTGCCCAGAGCCTCGCTCGCCCTCGTCGTCGCTCTGCCCAGCGGCCACAGTCTTGCCCGCTATCACCACTCTCTCTGCTCCGCGCAGCGGACGACCCGCGCGCGTCGCCGGGACCCCATTCGGGGCGACCAGCGTGCGTCGCGGGGACTCAGTGCGGCGCCGCGCCCGCAGCCATGGACATCGGCGTGCACGGGCAAAGAGGCAGAAAAAGAAGGGGAAGGAAGCGGGCGCGATCCTCGTGAGGGCGTGCCGACATGGGCGTCGACATTGATGCACGTAGACTGATTCGCACGCAGACGCATTCACAATCAGACATACTCGCGCTCAGGCTCACCCGGTCTCAGTCGCGCGCACTCAGAGCGATCGTCTTTGTTCGTATTGGGGGCCCCGCCACGCATTTCGGCACGCCCCCTCACACGGTTCGTGGCCCCATTGGGAGCGCGAGCGAAGATGAGATCCACAATCGCGGCATTCACAACTGCACATGGTTGGGTCCTTCGCCAGGCTAATTTTGTCAAGGGGCATTTTTTGGAAACGGTGAAAAAACGGCCCTGCCGTTTCCGGGGCCCACAAGGAGCAAGAGTGCCCCTTGGTGCGCGGCATCACGAGTCCGCGGGGAGGCCAGGTCCAAGCGCGCAGGCCACTGCTTGGGGGGTCCCCTGCATGTGAGCCTGCACGAAAGGTCGCTCCGAAGGGTCACTCTTTCGCGTGGTCGAGTCACTGTTTACAATTGGGCGTTCTTCTTCGGCTCGGTCCCAGGATCGTCATTGCAGGACCGCCCAGAATCGAACCGACGAGTCGAATCGGCAAGCGAAGGGAATCGGATCGGCGCAAATCGGCAGCCAAGTCGGGAGAGAAGTCCAACCGACGGATCGGAAACTGGCAGGTTAGAATGGCCTCCGCTGAGAGACCAGAAGCAAGATCACAGCCGGAGTCCGAAATCGGATCGAATCCAACTCAGAATCGATCGAGACCGATTCGAGCTGGAGGAACCGAAGGGGCCCTGCTACGAGGCCCCGGGGCGCTCAAGCATGGACCCGGGGCGGGGGACTGCCCCCGGGGAAGACCTATAGGGACCTCTGGAGCCGCGAGTGGAAGAAGTCGGGTCGGCGGATGTCGAGGGCAGCCGCGGGGAGGTCGGGCCCGAGGGGGTGGGCTGGGAAGCCGCAGGAGGCGCCCTCTCCCCTGCGCCTGTTACTCCCGAAACATGTGCGCAACAAAATAACCAGGTTCGCGAATGTTGGGCGACCCCCTGCATGGATGGAAAAGGCAGTCCCTTCTCGGACTGTTGCTGTTTGGCGGCATTTTCTTGCTGAGCTTAACTCGAACGCAGGTGGTCGTCCCAGTGGGAGGACGCACAGAAGAGTGCGCGACGACGAGCGGGCGGAAGGTGGCATTCCCCACTCCGTCCTGCTGCTGGTCTTCCTCCGTCCTTTGCACCCTTTTTCGTCCTCCGTATTATCGTTATTGATCCTCTCCCTCCTATGCCCTCCTCCTGGTCCTGCTCATCCCCACCTTGGTGTTACTCATGGCCTTGCTCATCCGAGTCTTTACTCCTTGTTCGCGCGTGTCGATTCCTTGAATGTTGATTGCGCTTGGGGGCTCTGAGTTCTTTTCCATGGAACTGGGCCCGTGTGTCGCACCAGCCTGCTTGTCGTCGCCGTGGCCGGTCGTCGCCGCCTGGCACCGCCTCGTCGCGGGCTCGCTTGCCGCAGCGACCGCTTCTCGTCGCCCGGTCGCCGTTCGCCGCCGCCTCGTCGCCGCAAAATGTTGGTCGCAGTTCTGATGTGTGGGGGAGCCTCGTAGGATATTATTGCTAAAAGGAAGTTGGGACTCCTGCCCCCCAAGGTTATCCGCCCACCCGGTGGATGTGCAATTTACATATGATCTTGCCACATCGAACATTCTGAGCATGAGCCCAGACCCTCTCCCGCGCGCATGTTGAAATCAGAACGCCCTTGCGCTCGTGCTGGGAGATGGACACGACGTCTGTCAAGTAGAACCAGGCAAGCCGCTCGTGCCCGTTAGCTGCGCGCGCATGTCGAAATCCTTCCAACACTTTCATCACCGACGCGTGGACACCATCATCGTCATCGGCGTGATCGACATCGGCGCCGTCATTGGCCTTGTCGTCGTCATCGCCCCCCTCGTCCCCAGCATCGCTATTATCATCACCGCGTCTGCCGTCGACGTCACCATGATACCGCGCCCGCCCGACTCACCGACTCGTCCGGAAGTGCCCGCGCGTCAGCGCGGCCAGCGAGACACGCTGGGAAGTCCCTTGCGGTCAGCGCCGGCGCGGCCGCGTCGGTCGCGCCAAACTAACTGGCCGCATTGCGCGACACCCTGCGCGCGCTAGCACGGCCGCAGCGATGTGCGAGGCAGCGCCAAGCAGGCATCGCTATGCCGCAAGGGGTTTGCAAGCCAAGTCTCAGATGGGTGGTTGGGATGATTTTGCCAGCAGTGGAGCTGATAAATTCAAGTTGCCAACTTGGGATGGCGCCACAGGGCTTACACATTATAGGTTTCAAGACCTAGTTGCCACCACGTCGATTGCTCCCGATGTACTGCATCACGTAGCTGACAGCACATAGGTTGAACCACATAACATAGACCACGTAGATGACACCACATCGAAATTGTGCCACATAGACTGCACCATCTAGACTGCACACCATAGTTGTGACCAAATAACTAGCGCTACATATAATGTACCACGTAGCATACATGACATCGATTGCTTAACCTGGATTGCAGCACGTAGCTTGCACACCATGCTTTGCACTTCGTGTGTTGCACCACACAGACTGCACCGCATATCGTATACCACACATGTGTGTATACGTGTATGTGTACATGTAATTGTTATATATATATATTTATCCGCATCGGCTGCACCACAACGCATGCTAGAAACAAAAACACTGGTCAGGGGTACAAGTTGGCTAACCTAATACTGCCACCCGATTGCGCTCTGCCATCTTGCAGCCCGTTGAAAGCGATTATATCCAGGGGGGAGGCCATCTGACCCATTACAAGGCAATTCAGAATCCCCGTTCCGCATTTTCAACCTCGTCGTCGACGTTGCAACATGCGTGGCAAGAACGGAGCGCGGCGCACATCGCGCGCGATATGTCGCTATGGCCTCGGTGCCGGGCTCGCTATTCCCGAATGTCGAATTCCCACTTGGGCACGGCGAGTGTTGTTCGCTCGCCGACTCGTCGACAGCAGGGTCGCGCGCGAGCGGGCTTGAATTGTCGCTCTAGCCTCGGCGCCGCGCAAGTTTCGTCTGAGGGTGGCACTTCCGCGCGGGCGCTGCGCATCCGTTTCGCTCGCCAAGTCGTTTGGGGCGGGGCCGCTAACGAGCGGGGGAGTTTCCGCCTTCTCCCAACGCCCCGAATCTAGTAAGCGGTTTCTTATTCGGCGTTTCGACATCGGGCGGAAGGGGGGGGGAGGGGGGGGTCTGGCTCTGGACCTCTGCTTAGTGCGACTGTTTGCAAAAGTGCGGCCTCTGAGGGACTCCACCCGCTCGAAACAGGTGTCAACAGAAGAACCAAGATCCACTCCATGGGGGGGGGGGAAGGGGGAGGGCCCGCGCCGATCGGCGAAGCACTGCATTCAAAAGCGATCACCTATTTCGCGCGGCAGGCGTTCCCGCTCGGGCGCGTCGCATGTGTTCGGTCGCCGAGTCGCGGGAGCGCGGCAGCGGGGCGGCGCGAGAGCGGGTGCCACGATGCTCTCGCGCAGGCGCCGCGCGGATCGTGCGTGAAAGTGGTAGTGTTAGGTCCGGCATGTCCCCCGACAGGCGGATTTCAGACGAAGAATAAGAAATAGCCACAGAATCTTCAAACATGGTCAATACATAATCGACAAATCGTCCCCGTACTAGTTTTGGACAGTGTTTGAACTTTCCTCCTGTAGGGGGACACGCCCAACTTAATGGGAGTGCTGCATCGGTGCGGGGAATGCATCGTCATGTCCGCGCTCATCTGGGGTTCGGCCGTGAAAAAGATCGGGGAACCGAAAAGTACCAACACCGCTACTCCACAAACCTCTCCCGGGGCTCGCTCTGACCAGAAGTTCGAGGCGAACCCAGCGGTGGCGACGAGGGCCTTCCAGGAGGCCCCGAGAGGCCAAAGCGAGGGAAGGGTAGCGGTATCGGTAGCTTGTTCCTCCTCTGATGAGAGGGCTCAATGGCTCTCTCGCCACCGCGCTCGGCGCGTCCCTGGTGCCATCGCCTGAGTGCCTGCTGCCCCCGGTGCGCGAGCGAACGACCGACGCACAGTCTGCTCGATTGCACTCCTCTCGGCGCGGTGCGCATGCGGCGCCTCGTGGCAGGCCTTCTCGTCTTGCTTGCAGCACCAGGCCTTCTTCAGCGGAGACCAGGAGGCCTTAAAAAAGGCGCGGCTGATTGCCCGTCCCGCACTCGACAGAAGCTCAGACTCCCCACTGCCGCCGAGGATCCCCTCCTGCTCGAGCCGTCTTCCCCCTCCCCCGCCTCTGGATATGCAGAATCCGATCTCAGCGGTACCATCATCCGCCCTCCTCCCAGAAGGTTTTGCCAACCATCCGTTCAAGCGCTCTTGAAGTAGGGTGCGCCAGCACAGCCACAAGCTGGAACATCAGGTTGACGCGATAAGTAACATACAAGGACGCACGGTGCGTCGAAATAACATGTGTCCGCCGCCAGCTAATAGCGAAACGGGCGAGAGCTGCGACAAATAAGGAACATCGGGCACTGCACAAATGTCATAAACACTATCAAGCCCAAACGGGACCTCGGAATACAATTCTAGTAACATTCACATCATCCCCGGGATCCGTGATTTCGTCAATCTGCCATCGCGCTTCAACTTTCTGCGATTGACTTCAGGTCATAACCAACTAGCTGAAAAAAACTGAATGCGGTAACCCGTGTTGCAACAAATTGCGTGTGTGCTCGGATGCTCCGCCACCGCCATGCCTCCGTACTGGATTGCGTAGCGTTCGTCACGCCTGTTGATTGATGATCTGTTCACGTACTAATGGGACTGTTGTTGGGTGATAAAGAACTTAGAAAAGCCCTCGGTTCGTGAAAAGCCCTGGAACGGGTTCGCAATTTGTATATCTAACGATCCCGCGATCTTTGTCGATATCACTGCCTGTCCATCGGTCTCACGGCCGATCGATGTCACGAACTATGAATGACTCTCTAAATCTATCGATCGGCCAGACTATAAGCTATATACAAATCTCTCTCTATATATATAGATGTATGGACACCCTCTCGGTCTTAACACATATACAGATGTATAGGCACGTATCTGTATACACGCTTACGTTCTAGCCGTCGCCAAGGACCTCGCATCGCAATGAAGACTTCAGGGGCGATTCTGCATATGCTTCGAGGGTGTGCAGAAGGACCTGCGGCAAGCACCTGTTGGGATCCCGGCGACGTGTCGGGGAGTCCTGGGGCTTATCTGACGTTTCTTGCGGCTCCCTGGGTACCCTCGAGGGCTGGAGGAGGAGGAGGAGAGCGAAGAACCGTGCCCGAGTCTGGCTCCGAAGCACACGCTGACCAAGGCTACGCCACGGACTATCGAAAGCCGCACCCTCCTCCATTCCTGGCCACGCATCCGGGGCCAAGCCAAGGCGCAACGAAGTCAACACATCCCAGCTGGGTCGCACCGGCAAGGCTTCCAATTCGATGACCCTGGCTTCTCGGGAGGAGTTATTGAAGAACTTCCACGTCCTCCAGCCGTCCATCGGTCGTCTTGTAGCCTCTTGGACGCCTGCTGGAAATGTGTTGGGGGCCTTTGGCGTTCGTTTTTGGAGCCGACTTGGGAGCAGCGGGGGTCATCTTGGAGACCTTGGTCCCGTTTTGGGGGCCTCTTGGGCCGTCTTGGAGCCCTCTCGGGGCCGCGCTGGGGCCATTGGGGGCGCATTTTGGGCCGTCTGGGGGTCCTCCTGGATATCTTGGGCCGTGATGTGTTCCCTCGAATGCCCTTTTAAAACATTTTGAACCGTTTTGGGGGCCCTCTGTGAGCCCTTTTGAAACGTCTTAGGCCCATCTTGAGCCATGTTGGGGCTCGTTTGGGCCGTCTGGCGGCGAGCTCGGAGGTCGTTGTGGACGTCCTGGGCGGACGGCACTCGAAGCTCGCTTGACCTCCTCCATTTGGGACCCCTGCTGGGGACGGTCTCGGATGCTTTTGGGGCCGTTCTGGGGGGCACCGTTTGCCGTCATGGGGCCCTGTTGCGCCGTCTGGACGCAACCCTGGAGCCAGGCCCTTCTCTGGCGCTCTTGGCATGCCCTTGCGCCGTCTAAGGATATCGGGAGTCCAAAAGCCATTACTCCGACGGAAGGACCCCACGTGAGAATATGTTCAGCTTGCCCTTAGCCCTTCCCTCCTCGCCCTGGCAGACACCCTCCTCTCGCCCTCTGCTCTGCCCTCTCCTCCTCCTCCTCCTCCTCCTCCTCCTCCTCCTATTCCTCTTCTTCCTCCTCCTTGTATTTCTTCTCCTCCTCCTCCTCCTTCTATTTGTCCTCCTCCTCCTCCTCCTCCTCCTCCTTTTCCACCTCCTCGCCATCGTCGCCTTCTCCCCATCCCTTCCCCGTCGTCATCCTTCCCCTGCTTCTTCTCCATGTGTCCCCCCCCTTCCCCCTGGTCGGGGCAAGCAAATCGATTTCCCTCGGCGCCGTCGCCACCTCGGCCACCGCGCGCATTCGCCGACGGCTGGTTCGCGAAGCCTTTGGGGCAGCTCCGCGGGCCATGCCGTTGCGACAACCCCGCGGGCCACTGGGGCGCGGGGGCAGGCCGTCGGGACAACCTCGCGGGCCAGACCGTTGGGAAAACCCCGCGGGCCTCTAGCTGCGCGCCGCGGCGCTCATGCGGGAGGCAGCACGAAGCTCCCGCCTGATACTGCCTCCATATTCAGGCCTGCGGAGCCCAACAGTGACGACAGCGACAGGATGCCGATGACCAGCCTCGAATTCGAACATGAAGCGCGGTCCCCTTAGGGAGGGTGCTCCCGCCTGGGACTTTGTCGCAATTCACTCACAGACGAGGTTCCCGCCTGAGACATCCTCCAAATTCAGGCCTGAGGAGCCCAAAAGTGAGGACAATTACAAGATGCCGATGGCCCGCCTCGGGTTCGAACATGAAGGGCGGACCCCATAAGGAGAAGGCTCCCGCCTGAGACGTCCTGGCAATTCACTCACAAACGAGGCTCCCGCCTGAGACATCCTCCGTTGCCATGTCACGGGGCAAGTGATGACGAAATGATGAGTAAGTGGATGATGATGGTGCTTGAATGAATGAGTGAATGAGTGATTATGGTTATGGTGGCGATGGGAAGTGAGTGTGTGAGTATGTGATTGAATGAGTGTGAGTGTAAGTGAGTGTGTGATCGATGAAGATGAGGACGACGATGATGATGATGACGATGACGATGATGATGATGATATTGATGATGATGATGATGATGATGATGATGATGATGATGATGATGATGATGATGATGAGTGGAGGAGTGAGTAAGGGTGAGTGATGGCGAGGGAGAGAGGGTGTGTGACAGGACTGCGCGGCGAGTCCAGAGAAAACAAGAACCCCACTTTGGATGTGGGGAAAACTCGCGAATCCAATGGGAGGTCTGGTGGGCACTGCAGCGCTGCAGGACCTCTCGACTGGCGTCCCTGGCCAGAGCGCGTATCGGGCAAAGCCGCCCAAGCACGAGAGACAATGCTCAACTCGGGCTGCTGCTTCCTGGCGGTCCTACAGTGACAGCTCCTATTCGCGGTCCTGCAAAAAGCTTTCCAGCAAGGACTCGCCAATAGAAGGTCAATGTAACCTTATGATGGGAACGCAATAGAATTTAAAAGGAGAGAGGATGCACCAACCAACAAACTGCAACAACAAGCAAACTGCACCAGCCGGCAGAAAACACAAGAGAGAGACGGCTGGGAGGAAGGAGGTAACCCGAGAGTTCGAACGGTGGCCGAACATTAAATCTCACCACAGAATTTATCACTTGGGGCCTTGGTGGTCACCACTGTCAACTTCGGATCCGTCGTGAATCCAGCTCGATCCTCAGATCCCAATCCTCAGGATGGTGCGTTTCAGGAGGGGTGTCCACAACTCCCGTCTTGGGATCTGGCCTCGATCCGGCTCGGTCCACGAAAGCCGGATCCGGAGCGTGCCCGCTCGACGATGATGCGTCTCAGGTCAAGGCGACGGCGTACCCAAGACAGCCCCAGGTGCGTCCCAGGCGTGCCCGCTGGAGGAGTGCGCGTCCGAGGGACCGACCATATAAACCCTATTTGCCATCGTGGCGTCCTGGATCAGGGCAGAAGCATTGTGAAGCTCCCGTGGGGGCCTAGTCGAGAATCTCTCATGGAGAATTGTTAGCAAGGGGGATCTACATGTGCCGCTTTCCTATGGCCGCAAATTAGCAAGGCGACCCAGGTTAAAACACAAATGAGCGACAAAAACAAACGGATCTGACGCGAGAAGACATTGCAACCTCACGCCACGGCTTTCGTGCGCCGCCAGCGCGGCCCGCTACATTGGCCACATTTGGGCCCCCTGGGGAGGGGGGCCCTGAGTGAGAAGCTCCCCGTCCTTGATCGATCTCATCCAATATGGCCCCCAAATGGCCCCCGAGGCTCCCAATAGTGCCCCAAGACGGCCCCAAGAGGCCCCAAGAGGCCACCACGATGCCCCAAAGACGCCCCCGAGAGGCTCCCAAGAGATCCCCGAGAGGCTCGGCGCCGGCGCCGCTGCCGCTGTGCACGCCGCGTGGCGTCGCACCTGCTTCTGTCCGGTGGGTCGGCTGCCTTTGCCGCTGGGAGGTGGCTCGTGGTGGCCACCTTCGCCCAGTCGCGCACGTGCATGTGCTCCCACTCGTCGTCAAACTCGCTCGGGGAATCCTAGAGATCGGCCCACGCCACTCTCAAGGGGACCCTCCGGCCGCCGTCGCCGTCCTCGACAACGACCTCGTGGGACTCCTCGGCCTCGGCCTCGGAGTCGTCAGCCTCCGTTGGGGTTGCGAAGGCGTCGTCGCCGAGCTCGAAAAGGGCTCTCGCTTCGGCCAGTGCGGCCGCGACGTCGTCCTGCTCCTCCGGGTTCAGCTCAGCAGTCTCGCTGGCGGTGTCGTCAGCGTCAAGACCAAGAAGTGCCCTCGCTTCGGCCAGCGCGGCCTCGTCAGCCTCGTCGGACACGGCGTAGTCGGACTGCTCCTCTGAGTCCTGCTCCTAGGCCTCGCTGGCGGAGTCGTCAGCGTCAAGCCCGAGAAGAACCCTCGCGTTGAGTAAGGCCTCGGCCTCGATGTCGAAGAAGGTGTCCGGATCGTCCACCATCAGCTCGAGAATCTGGAGGAGGGACAAACGGCTTCACCAGTCCCTCGAAACCCTTGATGTTAATCAGGTCGACCAGCTCGGCACGAGAAAAAGTGGTGGGCTGATTGCGCATCATTAGTGGTCCGCTGGTCGGCGCTCGAGCCCATTTGATCATACACAACTCCCGGGACAAAGGCGGCCGCCTTCACGTTGAAGGACGTGCGCAGACTGCCCGACTCCTGGGCAATGAGCGCTACATCCAGCTTCAAAATCTGCAGCTGCATGGGACACATCGCTCCGCTGGAAGGCTTCGCAACGTCCCCAGCACCCTCGCCGTCCCGCATTCCCTTTCTGACAGCAATGCTGGAAGAGAAGCACTGCGAGTCGATCAAATCGCCTTGCGTGGGTACATCACCAGGTGCGCATACCCTTGTCATAAAGGATGCGTCTCGAGACATCGAGGCGTTCGAAGAAGCTCAAACAACGTTGTTCGGAATCGGCTGACAGGAGGTATCAAGGCGTGTGTTATGCTACCGATGAAGAATCTGCATCCAAATGCATACGAATTGGACATCGGACCCAACTGGCTTGAGCTAAAATGGCAACGGAGGCGTTGTGGGGGGACTCTTGGGCGCAACTTGCGGCCTCTTGGGACATTTTGGCGCATTTGGGGGTCGGTTGGGGTCTATCTTGGGACGTATTGGTGCCCTCTTGGGGATCTCCTTAGCCGTGCTACACAACGGACCGACAGGTGTGTGCAGGAACGCAGCCCAGGAGCATAGTTGGACAAGCGCCCCAAAACTGGCCTCAGGATCCCCAGGAGGCCCACCATAGACTGCCCCCAAGAAGGCTCCCCCAATGTCTCGAAGAGGCTTCTAAGACGCCAGTAGGAAAAAAGAGGACTCCCAGAAGCGCCCGATAGGCTCCCAATACACACACAAACACACACACACATACACACACACACACACACGCAACCTAGGAACCAGAAGCATTCCTAACGCCTCATCGTTCGCACGAACTTATTGCATGATATCATTCCTTACTCCCAGGGGTGTTCTAGCTGTGCGACGTCCATCCTTGCCTCAGCGCGGACTCTCATAAGACAAATCGACTTGCGCCCCTGACCCAAACTCCTGGCGGGACGGAACGGATTCCACGAGGCATCAAATGTGTAGGACAGATTGTTGATCCCAGGTGGGTCCAGCCTGCCAGTCTTTGGCGCCGTCCTTGCAGTCAAACGAGCAGCCCAGCAGCTCCTGGGTGCAGCAATACACCTTCTTGTCCTGGGACCAGCTGTCCTGGCACGACGGAGGGGACCGACAGAGAATGGACAACGGATGGAAGGTCAGAGAGGAACATGGAAGATGAAAAAGGGAACCAAGCCATCCAGGCCGCCCCCCCTCCGCAAAAAGACCACTGACATATGTTTCGCTTTTCAAATTAGCAGCCGTGCCGTAAGCACTGAGCTGAGCGTCGTCGGGTCCCCGTGCAATCTCCGAGTCGACTTGTGCCTTAAGATCCCGAAGCTGAACCTTGTACATATCTCTCCATGACGCTCGGGCATGCCCGGCATGCCCGCATGACTTTGTCAGAGGCCTCGAGTGTGGGGCCCCGCGGGTGCACCGTTGACTCTCAGCGCGGGGCACCGCGAGTGACAGACAGACAGACAGACACACCGACAGAAGCCAGGCGCCTCTCTCATGCGCACCAGAACTCCAAAACTGTTCTGAGCTCTGCGTCGTTGCGCTTCCAGGTAGTAGCGTCATGCGACGCAGACAGGGGCAAGGAAGGGGAAGGGGAGAGAGGGACCACGAGAGGGGGCGAGAGGGGATGCAAGCCACTGGCCCCTGAGAAGCTCGCGTACGCAGTCAACTCGCTGTGGTTTCGGCTGGCCACGCCTGCGGTGCACATCGGCTACCTGCTGACCCGGGTCAATCCAGACCCGGGCCAGTCAGGCCTTGCAGAATCCTGCAAAGCCTGATCCTGCACCCAAGCCTGGGCCAGTGCGAATGATCCTGCAAGCTGCTGCAGGATCCTGCACCCAAGCCCGGGTCAATGCGCCTGCAGGACCCTGCAAGATCGGGCGCTCTGGCTGACCCCCGTCGCGAGGCTCCCGAGCACATGCCGTGCGCGGGGCACCGGGAGTGGCAGGCGTGAGAGCCTCTTTGCCTTCGGTTGGGCATGTCCCCCTACGGGCGGATCTTGGACGAAAAATACAAAAAGTATTCAACATCGTTTGCTCAAAAACAACAAATGGACAATTGAAGCATCGTCCCCTGACACTGTTGGGGGCTATCCTCCTGTAGAGAGACACGCCCGACTTATCTCTTGCCGTGCGCAGTTGGGGCGCCGCACCGATGCCGCGCCGACGCCTGCAAGATCACCGCGCGCGGCTGCCTCTGCTGCGGGTTTGGCGGGCGTCGCTCGCGGCGCGGCTCCCGACCCTGGCCGCCCTCCTCTCGGTGCGGGGGGGTGGGGGGGCCGGGAGGGGGGGGGCGTCCAAGCGGGGGAGCGCAAATCATGGCCGGCGGCACGTGCGCGGCCCCAAGGGGGGGGGGCAAGGGCGTGACGGAAGGAGAAGGGGCGCCGTGAAACCGGAGGAAACATCGTGGCCCACGCCATGGTGTCCCCCTTCCCCTGGTCATCCCCCCCCCCCCTCCTGGCCGCCCCCGAGCCGAGGGGGGGGCCGCATCGATGCCGCGTCCGGGCCTCCAGAGCCCCCGGTGGGGGGGGGGCAGCGGGGAGGGAACGACTGTTCTTGCGGCGGGCTGCGCGGACGTTGAGCGCGGTGCTGCTCACGACCTGGACCGCCCCCCCGTCCGCGCCGATCTGGTCGGACATCGTTCGGTGCATGCTGGCGTCTGGGCGGAAGCGTGGGCTGATCAATTGATGTCCCAGATGATCACTGATGCAAGGGACGTAATCGCGCATACTTCGCTGCGCGGTGCCAGCTCGTCACGCTCACGTGTTTCACGAGGCGGGCCCGTGCAGCGCCTAATGATGTGGCCAGCGAAAAAAAGAACTTGCCCTCCACGCGGTATTCCGTCATCGCAAATAGTGCTTGTCAGCTAGTCCGGGATGTTTCTCACACCGTGGCCTGTACGTGCCTCGCGGCGCTCGCCGGCTTGACCTCGCTTGATCCCAATTCCACTCGATCAGAACATCCGGAATGCCCGTTCCTCCTCCGAAGAGCACCACGACGCCACGACCATCTCCCCAGCGCTGGTTTCTCATCCCGAGACGTTTTCTCAGGTGGCCCCTGTGCCCAGTCAGAGCCCCGAGGGGCCGAAGACGGACAAAAACATCTCGTCGCGATCATTGCCACGACGCGGGCACGTTTGGGTCCCTTCTCCCTCCCTCTCCCCGAGTCCCCCCCCCTCCCCCTCCCTCTCCCCTCGCCTCCCCCAGTCCTCTCCCCCTCCTTCCCCATCCCCCAATCCGCCCCCCTCCCCTTCCTTCCTTCCCTCCCCCTCCCCTGGCCTCCCTTAATCCCCTCCCCCTCGCTCACCTCCTCCAGCCGCCCCCCCCCCCATTCCTTCTCCTCAGAGGGCGAGCGAGGAGGAGGCGCGGCCTAGTGCCCGAGGGCCGCCCAGGGGGCGCTCGGAGGCAGGCGCCGTCCTCTGGGCCGTCGGAGCAGTCGTGCGAGCCGGAGCCGTCGGGGGTGCCCTGGTGGCGGCGCTGCGCGGGCAGAGGAGGGCCCACCACTCTTTTCCCTCCTGCTCTTCTTCCTCCTCGTCCTCCTCCTCCTCCTCCTCGTCCTCGTCCTCCTGCTCCTTCTCCTCCTGCTCCTTCTCCTCCTCCTCCTCCTCCTCCTCCTCATCCTCCTCCTCCTCCCCCTCATCATCATGCATCATTCCTTTTCCTTATACATAGCTTCCTCCTGTCGCACCCCGAGACCGGTTTTTAGGGCGGGCTGGGCGTTTCGCCTGAGACTCCCTCACCAACGATGACCCTCAAGCTGACACATTGCCAACAATTTCACACATGGAAGGCGTCTGGTTTTCAATATGTGGCTTTCGCGTTAGCGCCGCGCACATTCGTTTCAGAACATTTTAAGAGCTGCGCGAATGAAGGGCGGGTGGTTTTCAAAATGTGGCTCTCGCCGTAGCGCTGCGCACATTCGTCGTGGCAACTTGCAAGAGCTTCGCGGATTGAGGGCGGTTCCTTTTCAAACTGGGGCTCTCACCTTAGCGCCGCGCGCGTTCGTTTTTTTTCTCATCTATAACTGTATGTCTACGTATATATGTGTATAGTGTTAGAGCATTACGGATTGCGGGCGGATGGTTTCCATAATGTGGCTCTTGCCTTAGCGCTGCGCACACTATTTGCAACACATTTGCCAGCGCTTCACGGATTGAGGACGGTTTCTTCTCAAAATGTGGCTCTTGCCTAAGCGCCGCGCGCAATCATTTCAACACATTGCGTGGGCGTCGCGCATCGAGGGCGGGTGTGGCTCTCGCCTCAGCGCCGCGCACATTCGTTGTAACAACTTGCAAGAGCTTCACGGGCTGAGGGCGGTTCCTGTTCAAATGTTGACTATCGCTTGAGCGCCGCGTAACTTCGTTTCAGGCGTTTGCAGAAGTTTCGCGGAATCCCATGATCCATGTACCAGGAATGGCGCTCTGGAACAATTCAGGATCATGAGAGTGCAACAGGTACGATGGTTCGGGGCGTTGAAGTCCCAGGAGTGGCGTTCTGGTGCGATTCAGGATCACCAGGACGCAACCATCAGTTCGACCATCGGCACTGGAGTCCCGGAACAAATATTATTTTATTATTGGGGGTCTTGTTACGGTTGTCGTCCATCGAGGCAGCTGCCTCAATGGAAATGAACCGTTCCATGAACATCCATCTGCGCTCAGTTAGTGCAATTGCTAGTTAAGTAGCGGCCTTTAAGACATAATCCTTGGTTTTAGCGTTGATCGCTAAATTTAGCTTATGTTTGGAAACACGCCAGCGTCGTTCGATTCTTAAACGCGTAACAGGAAGAACGAGGCGGCCTCCTGAAACAGAGGGCGTCTGCAACCCGCTGAAGCAGGATGCGCCAACTCCACCGCAACGCGGCGTCGCGCGCATTCTCTGCCAGCGCGGAGCCAGCAAATCCGGGTGCTGCCAGGCATGTTCCTGGCTCACTGGTTCTTGGAAACTGCAGAGCCGTTCGACCGTTTCCACGAAACTTAACCTGAACCTTTGGAATGGACACTTCGCCAAAACGGAAGCCAACGGCTCTGGGATGGAAGCCAAGGCCGGAACCGGAAACAACAACGGCGACGGAACTGGATCAGAGTGAGGGGGCCGAACGGTCATTCACTGTCCCTGGGTGCGTGGCTGATGTGGAATTCCGCGGTGCGGATTCTTGTTGTTGTTGTTTGTTGTTGTTGTTGTTTGTTGTCGTCGTCCCACCCGCAACCCGCCCCGCGACCCACCCGCGACCCACCCCGCGACCCACCCCGCGACCCACCCGCGACCCACCCGCGACCCACCCGCGACCCACCCCGCGACCCACCCCGCGACCCACCCCGCGACCCACCCGCGCGACCCACCCCGCGACCCGCGACCCACCCCGCGACCCCCCCGCGGCCCACCCCGCGA